AGATGAAAAAGAATTCTATCTACTTGTTGCATCGAAAAAACCTTTTTGCGCCGAACCACCTGTATGAGTAGCATACCGTATTTTTTTAATAACCAGAGGTTCCGGAAAAGGCATGTCCGTGCGTGGATGAAGGAAAATTAGTTTCACAATTGAAATTGAAATCACTCCTGCAAGTAGCCGCTATTCTTTCGTTTTGATAAGGTGCACACCGGCTTTCAAAAATAGTAACATCAGTGAATTCTTTTGAGCCTGGGGTGGTGCTGGACAAGAGCAGTCTTTTCTTGGCGGATCTCGTTCGTCCTACATGCAACATCAGTAGAGTTTGCTAATTTTTGCCCCATTGAGGATTTAACAGATTGATATAAAGTTCCTTGCTCCACTAATGTTCAATTGAGAATGCCTTTAGGGCGGATCGGATGAAACTATATTGTCGTCTGGGCAATGAACGAATGATATTGTTGCAGCTGGACGGAAAGGTACGGATTCCGCTGGTCAAGCTGGTACAAATGGGCCATACGGAGCAGGAGCGGGTGGCTCTGCTCCTGGTAGGCCTGGCCAGGGCGGACTGGTTGGAAGCGCTGGACAAGGCCGACCGGATGCAACTGGCCGCAATGCATACACTGGACTTGAACCAGCTGGGGCAGCTGGAGTAGTTGGTGGTCAAGGACAAACAGGTGGAGCTGGTAGTAGCGGAACGGCGGCAGGTGGTAAAGGTAACGAAGTTTGCAACCATACCGAAGAATGCGCGAAGCCGAAAAATCCGCACGCTTCTATTTTGTCAAATGTGGTAAAACCAACCGACCTGATCCGCGTTCAGAAATGGTAAAAAACTGATCTGAGATTGTGCAGATACACTGAACAACCATTCCGTCTGTTGCATTACAATCTTCCGAATTACCGCAATGACATGAGCAGGAGAAACGATTCTACCGTATAATTGGATTGACAACCTTTTTCATCATACCGCCGGCAAGAATATTTGCTCAACGCATATTCTTTCTGGCACCAAGCGGTTCGGACAGTCGCATATATTTCCAACGGAAGAACAAGAGAAAAGCTCAAAAATAATGAGATAAGACTGCATCTATCAAACCGCAGCAATTACGAACATTTTCTGCGTTCATCAGATTGAAGACAATGATTTATGCTCTCTCGCAAAATGCTCGTGGATCGAAATTTTCAGGAACTCGTTTCCTGGCGGAGGAGCTTCGACTACTGTCTTTTTGAGTCGCACTTACATCTTAAGTAACAATGATCCAAAACTGCAACATAGATGAATCTTTTTCAGGGTGGGGTGGTGCTGGACTAGAGCAATCTTTCCTTGGTGGATCTCGTTCATCCTACATGCAACGTCAGCAGAACTTGACAATTTTTGCCTCATTTTGAATTTTACAGATTGATATAGAATTCTTTGCTCCATTGATGTTCAATCGAGGAGCCACTTTGTTGTATATGCAGTGAACGAGTGATCTTATTACAGCTGGATGGAAAGGTACGGGTTCCGCTGGCCAAGCTGGTACAGGTGCAAGCTATGGAGAAGGAGCGAGTGGCTCTGCTGCCGGACGATCTGGCCAGGGCGGACTGGTTGGAGGTGGTGGACAAGGTCAACCAGGTGCAGCAGGTCATGGTGCATTAAGCGGCTTCGGTGGAGCAAGCAGTCCAGGTAAAGCTGGTACAACTGGTGGAACTGGTGGAATAGGACAAGTGAGTGGAGTTGGGCGTAGTGGAACGGCCGGTGGTTTCGGCGGAGACACTTACGTTGGTTCACCTGGCCGCGGTGGATTGAGCGGTCCTGGAGGAGCAAGCGGTCAAGGGCCAGCTGGCGCAGCTGGAGTAGTTGGTGGTCAAGGACAAACAGGTGGAGGTGGCAGCAGCGGAACGGCGGCAGGTGGTAAAGGTAAGGAAATTTACTGTCATATCGAAAGAACGCATGATTTCATAACAACACAAGTTTTGATTTTGCCAACCGTTAAAACAGACTGACGCCATCTGCGTTCAACATTGGTCAAAATTCGTTTGAAATTCTGCACGTACAGTGAACAGTCAGTCCATCTGTTGCATTAGAATAATCCATTATATCAAACGTTTTTACGTCGAACCGTCAGCGAGTAAAATTGCTAAGAACTTGTTCTTCTTGGCTCCAAGCGGTTCAGATGGTGGCATATTCATCAAACAACAAAGCACTGTAACAGCTCGAAAATAGTTAGATGAAGATTGCTCCTGTCAATTTCTATCTACAAACATTTTGTGCGTCTGTCAAGCTCATGACAATGGAATGTTCCTGGAATAAAATATTCAGAAATTGTTCGCACTTGGGAATAAACGGCAAAGGAGCTTCATTCCTACCATTTTTAGATACATTTCGACCTCGAAGAACAATAATGCCAAATTATAACATACAGTAAGTTTTTTCAGGTTGGGGCGGCGCTGTACTAGAGCAGTCTTTTCTTGGTGGATCTCGTTCATCCTACATGCAACGTCAGTAGAGCATGACAAATTTTGCCTCGTTTACGATTTCACCTATCAGCATAAAATTCTTTGCTCTATTAATGTTCAATTGAAGATGCTTTTACAGCAGATCGGATGGTACAAATAGTGAAGAGGTGATATTATTGCAGCTGGACGGAAAGGTACGGGTTCCGCCAGCCAAGCTGGTACAGGCGCAACTTATGGAGCGGGAGGGAGTGGCTCTGCTGTCGGTCGATCTGGCCAGGGCGGACTGGTTGGAGGTGGTGGAC